TTCATGCATGTTTGGTAAAGGTCCAACCTGCAAGAGATACAATTGTTTTTGAGGACTCCAGGAGCGATTTCTGTTCTCGGGTAGCTTTACAGTCCCAGGGGAGTCTCCTGCATTTCTTTTCCCTTCTTGGTTTGGTTTCCAGGGAGCTCAGAGATCAAGTTCATGCTCAAAACTTAATGTTCACTCCTGGTTCAGACACGGTGCTAATTCAGCCATGCCCATTAGGGCCTCTCCGTTAGACTGCTGTGTCCATGTGGACGTGAGAGAGAGATGGGAAAATGAAAGGTGGCGTGCGCCTCATCATCATAGGTGGCAGAATGTGATAAGTGGCCTGTGAAAGACAAATGATTTGCTCTGGAAGGTCAGACAGTGGGAGGAACAGGCCATTTGGCTCTGATGTCTAGAGAGGCTTCCTGGAGCAGGTGGGAGCCTTCCTTGCTGCCTCCTGAGGTGCTCCGGGAAGTGAAGCCTCCACCTGTGGTGGCAGGTAGAAACCATTGCCATAGTGAAGGCGTAGGGGAGAAGCTGGTGCCCCACTGAATGGCAGAGTTCATAGATGTAAAAAGTCCCCATGCTCAGAACCCAAGTGACATGAGATTCCATTTCTCCAGCTCTCTGCTCCTCTCCACACAGGCTCCCTGGAACACCACAGGGTCTTTGTAGGACTCATTTGGTGACTCTCGGGCCCATCGGGGACAGATCAGCCTAGGGGTTCTGCCATTTGCCTATCTTTCCATCCAGGTCCAGCCTCACCTGGAAACCCACATTTCAACCTCTCGTGACCTGGCTGGATGTGCACTGGACAGAGGTCTCAAAATGATTGTTCCGGAAAACTGGCCAGAATGGTTCAGAAACAGCACATATCTCCTTAGATTCTGATCCCACTTTGCAGACAGATCTTCAAACTCCGTTGAGTTTCCATGGTCCTGCCCCTCCACGTGAGATCTAGCAGGTTACATATTTCATGAACAAGTAGCAGACGTTCCCTCGGTGTGTTCTACTTGAGTTTGCAGTATTTACTCTGCCCAGCACACAGTACATTTAACTCATAAGCTGTGCAATGGAAGTCCTTGCCTTGGAATTATGTAAAACCCGGTGGAACCTGGTGGAACCCTGCGCCTGCGGTTCGGTGGATGATGCTGTAGCAGGGACAGTGTCCTAGTTCCGCTGCTGGGCTGGTTATGTAAGACGTTCTCACTGGGAAAGCTGGGTGAAGAGTACACAGGAACAGGCTGTCCTCCGTTTGCAAATTCTTTTGAGTCTTAAATGATTTCAAAATAAAAAGTTTTTGTTTTTTTTTTTAAATAGCAAGACAGAATCTAGGAAGCTATCTAGTGTCGTTGTTTTCAACTTTAATTTTAGCAGCAGTCTCCCTGTCTTGCCCAACTCTTCCATCCCCACCCTCAGCAACTCCAGGCTCCTCCTGACATCCAAAGGGCTCTGCGAAATCCCATTTTTAAAACTCCATCCCCAGCCCACCCCTTCAGGGACCAAAGAAGTAAAAGGAGTCACTTCTTTGGCGTCTGTTAGATGGAACACAGAGAACCTGGGAGGTTTGCAGTTCCAGTTGGTCTCTGCAGAGTGGCGTGAGTCATAGCTCTCTTGAGCCAGCTCTGTGGTCTCTTTTGTCCGATGAGGTGCGATTAATTAGATGGGAGAAGAGTTTCCATAGTCCTGCCTTCCGCGCCTGTGGTGCGGGAGATGGAGTCATCCTCATGGTTGAGACAGGGCATGGGGCAGTCTGGGCTGGAGGCAGTTTACCATTTACCACTCGGGATGATTGCCAAGCAGACTTCCTCAGAAGGCCAGGCACAGGGTGCAGGGAAGGGGAACACAGGACCCAAGAAGTCCCCTGGCTCCTGCCTGCTCAGCCTCCGCTCTGACCACCAGTGAGAACTGACACTGGCTTGCTTTCCTCTTCCTGCCCTTCAGGCCCAAGTCACAAAGTACTTTGGGCAGACATTGGGCACCTCGAAGTTTACATCCAATATAATAATGATCTATTTGTCCAGAAATTTTGCAAAACCTTCCTCCTGTGTTCCCTCCGTTGAGCCTCACTGTCAGCCCATGACACAGGTGGATCAGTTTTACTTTGGCTTTATGCATAAGCAAGGAGACTTTTCCAAGGTCGCAGAACTTGTGCCAGGGCTGGAGTCAGAATCCTGGTCCATATCCTCTTTAGAAGAGACTCTCATTCCAAACAGAGACCTCGGCTGTTGGAAAGTACCTGCTCACACTGGAGGGCCCCCCAGCGCATGGTGGCAGTCACTGTTGTAGTTCATGCCACACTCAGGGCGGGAAGGACTCCAGGACTCGGTGGCTCAGGTGGAAGCCAAGGTTTTCTCTCTTCCTGCACCTCCCAACCATTAGAGCCCGAAGACGCCATGTGGGTGTCAGATGAGGAGGATTTAGGTTTTCCTGAAAAGTGAAGCACGTGGCCTGCGTGCCTCTCCAGGAGCCAGGAGAGAATCTTTGTGACAGTCCACTGGCAGGACGGCCACCCTGGAGCTGCCGGCACACACATACTGCAGAGCGCTCTGTGTGAGCTGCCACCCTTCATTCCCCACCACTTGTTGATGCTTGTTTCTGTGGTGGGGAGTGGCTCTCCCACTCCCTCAGCCTCCTCTTTGCCTTTCACAGTGGAGGACACAACCTCGACCTTGGGTACCACTAATTGGCGCTGACACTAGACTGTTCCTTCAACATTCTGCTTGTGTCCTGGGAAATCGGGGAAGCATCTTTAATGGTGGGAACTAGGGCTGTATTCACAGCTACCACTTGCCTAGGAAAAATAACCTCTGAAGGAGGATGTTGATATATATATATATATATATATATATATATATATATATATACATATATATGTATATGTATATGTATATATATATATATCGAGAGAGAGAGAGAGAGAGAGAGAGAGAGAGAGAGAGAGATAGATAAACTAGTGACCTGCTTCACGAATATTGTTAATCAATTACACATGTATTCTGCTGGTACCTATGAGGCACTTGCTAAATATCTGTCGAATGACCTTCTAAGTGCTGGTTCTCAGTCTTTAGCACGACTTTGAGCCTCAGCGTCACCTGTGGTGCCTGCCAAAGCACAGACCAACCCTCCCCTGAAGCTTCTGATTCAGTTGTTCTGGGGAGAAGCTAAGTAATTTGCATTTCTAACAAGTTCCAGGAGATGCGATGCTGTGCTAGAACTTGTGCCAGGGCCGGGGTCAGCAGGCATGTCAAAAACCATCGTCTTAAAGCTGGGATTGACAAGCTTCCTGAAAAAGCCAGACAGCAGATATTTTAGAATCTGTGGCTGGTACAGTCTCTGTCGTAACTACTCTGCCATCTTAAGCACAGAAAATATGTAACTAAATGAGCATGGCTGTGTTCCAGTAAAATATTACTTATAAAAATGAATGGTAAATTTATTTTTTTTAAATGTGTTGCAAATTAAAAAAAAAAAAAGTGCCAGATTCTCATTCTGGGTAAATTGTTGAATATTTTTAGGATGATGATCAGATGGTGGTCAAACCCTAGCTCTGACATTCATGAGCCATGTGACTTTCTAACAGTAATTAATATCTCTGTAAAATTAGGGTAATAATTATGCAGAGAAAAATAGGGGAAAAGCACTCACTTTTTTAATACCTTTATTTTATTTATTTATTTATTCATATGTAGTGCTGAGGATGGAACCCAGTGCCTCACATGTGCTAGGTGAGTGCTCTACTGCTGAGCCACCACCCCAGCCCCAAGTACTCGCTTTAATCACATCTAGGTGTGCATCCCTGTGTGGTTTGGTATTCTTTAGGCTTTTTCTGCACAGTGATGTCTTCCAGGATTTTCCAATCTATGTCTTTAAAAAGGAGTCTTCATCACCCATTGACACATACTAGGCTTACCCTGAAATCGCCTTTGGAATTTCAGTAGCTCGGAGATCCTTAGAAAGTCAAAAGCCAAGAATGTCCTTCTTCATGTCTCTGTGTATTAAAGAAGAAATTGACCTTGACATGTGTAAAAAGAAGCTCTTGATCTGCTCTGTCCCAAACCCTGCCCTCTGCAGTCTTAATTCAGTGGGTGCCAGTGCTGTCTGTAGAGCACCTCAATCCACAAAGAGAGACTGGGGAGGAAGCATTTAGAGAGTTAATGAGCGGGTCCCAAAGGTGCATGTTGAATATGGAATTGGTTTGTAGTTCAAATAGAGCATAAATTTCTTTCTGCTCAGCCTCTTCTTTCACACATTAGTAAACGGAAACTTCTTCCGAAGAGGCCTGAAGCTCACCTGTTCTAGGCACATGGCTCTCCCCAGGCTTGAGGCAAGCTTCCAAGCATCTTATGCAGATGGGTTTCTTTTGTCTTCATAACAACCCTGGAGAAAATAGGTGCTGTTAATCCCCCAGTAGGCAGTGACTTGACCACAGCCATACCTCTGGAAAGAGCAGAGCCCTCTTGAACCACTTCCTGTGGTAGGAGGGATTAAAATGCAGTGGCCCTAGGGACAAGTCATCTCCGTGCATTTCCAGGGCTCTCCCTACCCCGTTGGAGTTCCCCCATGCAGATGTGTGTAAACTGTGGAGAGATTGTATCCAAGCAGGAAGAGGTCCCCATTGGTTATAGCATGTACCTGGTTCACAGGGTGATGTTTTCCTGGAAACCTCATACAGGAGATTTCCTGAAGGGCCCTTTGGTTCCACTTCACAAACACGCCTCGTGACCCTGTTAAGGGTCTGTGCTGTACCACAGGCTGTGCTAGGTGCTATGAAGACATACCAGATTCTGTAAACCAGTGCCCTTGCCCTACGGTCTTTGATAACACTAAGTGGAAGCCATAATTTGGGAGGAAAACCTCGGTGGGTGCAAATCGTACCCTGAAAACATGGTAATAGTTACCTTAAAACATGATGCGGCAAAATGCCACCACCACCCGTTGTGTAACTCCAGAGAGTGGCACCTCGTCTGTTGTGCTGGAAAGGATTGATGGTGTGCTTCTTCTCTCCGCAGGACCCCAGGAGCAAGCACAAGTTTAAAATCCACACTTATGGGAGCCCTACCTTCTGTGATCACTGTGGGTCGCTGCTGTATGGACTCATCCACCAAGGGATGAAATGTGACAGTAAGTTTTTCTTTTCCAGTAGATGGTGAGATGCTGTGGCTCGTACCCAAAGTTTACTGAGCCCGGGAGGTCCGGTAACTTCTCAGTACCAGCACATCAATAGGGAGAATTCGTTCGTATAAAGAGCTGGCTAGAAATGTGTAGAAGCTCGCCACTGTCCAAGTTCTACTTAGTTGCCTAATTATGAACCAAAAAAAAAAAAGGTGCACTTGGTTTATAAATGAAGTTAGTAGGGGCCGTCACCTCTTTTTCTTTTTTTTAAAGGAGTAGAAGTCTTCAGTCCTTGTAAAATGCAGGCTAGTCAAACCCCAAAGAAGGCTCCCCACCTCCAGATTCCACATTTGGGTTGGCTTCAAAATAAGCTAAGCAACCACAGTCATTATCTTCCTCTGTCTCTAATTAGTGGGTGGACGATGGAAAAATCCAGTAGGCTCTCCTTAAAACCGAAGCCAGAATGAACATAAATACAAGATAGCATCTCTCTTAAGTTCACTCACCCTGCCTGTTTATGAACAGATCAAATTTATATCAGTCCAGTTCAAGATAAAAATCATTGAGCGCCACTGACGGAGAAGACAGATCCCAGGCCCTTCTCCTCTCTGGTCTCGGATAGTTCTCTGACAAATACCAGGAGGAAAGAAGAACAGCTATGGAAACTCTTTGCTTTGATGATTTTTAAATTATGAGATTCCCCAGGATGTTTGTTTAAATAAAAGTTAATGCTTTTAGGACATAAAAAGGCAATTATGAGTTCCATTTTTCTAATAGGCAAATGTTATGGAAATTTCAGCACATTCTCATTCGCTAATGACCACTGTAATGGCCCAAAGTTTTGTATTTGTATCCCACATGGAGCAAACACAATATTAAAAAAAAAAGTAAATATACAGAACACTATAGAGTGCATGGAATGTGGGGTGGGAGGTATTTGCTTTCTGAAGTGGTCCAATTTAACAGCCTAATGAAGGTTCTGTGATCATCCAGACCAGAGGCCTTCCATGCTTCAAGAATTGCTAGGTTTGGGCTTTGGTTGTGGCTCAGTGGTAGAGCACTTGCCTAGCATGCATGAGGCACTGGGTTCGATCTTCAGCACCACATAAAAATAAATAAATAAAATAAAGACATTGTGTCCATCTACACCTAAAAAAAAATTAGGAGAAAAAAAAAACTCTAGGATTCCAAAGATGGTTTTCAAGGATTTTGCAAGTAGTAATTTTAAGTGCATTTATAAATATATATTTAACTATTTTAAAACTTGGACAAAAATAAACAGAGAGACACTGGAGAGCTTGTGTTGATGACCTCATTCATGGGACGGAACTTGGCAATCAGCTGAAGAGTCTAAGGGCTGGCATGGCGTGCCACTCGGCACTTTCCCATGTACATGTTCTCTTCTGTATGAATGAGGGTTTATAGGTGCTGTACAACTTTAATTAAATACAGAAATGACATGTTGTGGTCTCTCTGAGATACTCCCTTGTCCATTTTCTGTTGCTAAAAAAACAAACAAAAAAAAAAAAAACCTGAGACTGGTCATTTATAAAGAATAGAGGCTTATTTGGCTCCTGCGTCTGGAGGCCAGGACACCCAGGAGCTTGGTGGCAGCATCAGCTCAGCGTCTGATGAGGGGCCTGCCTCTTGCTGCGTCACAGCTTGGTAGAAGGCTCCTGTGGAGAGACAGAGCAAGCTGCTAGCTCAGATCTCTCTCCTCCTCTTATGCAGCCACTAATGCATCCTGGGGGCCCCACCCTCATAACTTCAGCCACTGATTCTCTCTTGAACATTAAGTCAGCATTAAGATGACTCTGGGGGTGACATGTCTGACACATTAACTTTTGGGGACACATTCAAACTATAGCGGCATCACCCAGTATCCCCAACAGCTGGTTTTAGGGTTTTTGTTTGGATAAAAGGGCTTTATTGGTTCTCCTTCAATGTCTTTGTAACAAGTAAGTGGTATAAATTTGAATTTATTTACTGCATGTCTGCTAATAGCACCCATCTGTTATATTTGTTAGGATTCAGCTTCAGATTTTGCTTGAAAAACACATTCCATTACTAAAAAATAACTGAAAACCACTGACCTGGATCGGTGCTTCTTTGTTTTGCTTTAAACCCTTTCCCCTGGACTTGCAGAGTTTCTGGGGATCCTTCCTGGAAGGAGGAGAAGGAGGAGGTGGGCACCAGGACCCAGCCCCTGCCTTGACTTCTGCAGACTCAGTCTCTCCCCACGCCCCGACTCTTGCTCCTGCTCCTCATACTGTATAGTCCTGTGTCCAGGTCCACTGGTAGGGAAAGTTAGCTACCACTCTTCTAGACCAACTTCTTTGTTTGCTGAGTAGGGAATGGAACGAGAGACAGCAAATAAACTTCACAAGGTAGAAAAGCCAGTTTGAGCCGGGTGTGGTGGCACACACCTATAATCCCAGCAACTAGGGAGGCTGAGGCAGGAGGATCACAAATTCAAGGCCAGCCTCAGCAACTTAGTAAGACCCTAAGCAACTGAGTGAGACTCTGTCTCAAAATAAAAACATAAAAAGGGCTGAGGATATGGCTCAGTGATAAAGTACCCCTGGGTTCAATCCCCAATACCAAAAAGAAAGCAAAAAAAAAAAAAAAGAAAGAAAGAAAAGAAAAGCCAGTTCTAGGTAGAGCCAAGACAGGAATACACCCATGCACTTTCCCTTCCACACCCTCTTTGCTGCCCATATTCTTTCCAAAGCCTCTCATTTATTTTCTTTAAATTGCCAATTCTGCCCAGGCACTTGAACATATGACGTTGTCAACTCAAGTTATATTAATAACACGACTTTTCAAGAGCCTGTGTATTGGCTGGGTGCAGGCACAGGATCTGGAAGAGTTAGCTTCAGAAATAGAAGCCTCACAGAATCCGCTCTCGTGAATCAACTAATTGTTCTTTCCTCGTTGTGTCCCTTATCCTGATTTCCATGTTTAATCATAGCAAATATGCATTATTCATGACGCTTTTCCTCAGTTTGGTTTGCATGTTAAAATTAAACACTGGATAGGAAAGGGCTTGGGGGCCCCCACCTTGGAGGCTACAGCACAGCCTCGCTGTCTTCCCTTGGGGGAGTTGCGAGGGATCCTGGCCTGGGCAGGAAGGCACCAAGGCAGAGAGCTGGACCACCTACCCAGCCTCGCAGCGGTAGCTGGTGCACAGGGATCTTTAGGGGCCTCTTTAGTTCATTGCAATAAGACTGATCTCCTTTTATCCTCCCCTGTCTCACCCACATCATGTCAGCTGTGTGGCTTATGCCAGGAGTGTATTTGTTGTACTTGGAATAATATTTAAATATTTGAAGACAGGTTTAAAATATCAAACACAAATTCTTGGAAGAAAAAAAAAACAAGAAGAAAGAAAAAAAAAACACAAAGACAACGTACGTACACCTTCTTTAACATACAGGGTTACTTGAGGAAAAGAGAAATTTCCGAATTTCCCATCCTCAACCCACAGATTGTCACTTTCTCAGTGTGGAGCTCAGAAAGGCAGAAGGAATTCTTTAGCAAAAAGTATCCTCTATTTAAAATTTGCATATTGTATGCCTGTGTGTACATAAGGTATTAATTAGCCTGAGCTCTGGGCACACTCACCTGCATGGATTTTGTTAAACGTTTGGAGCCGTCACGGAACACCAGGCTGGGGTATTTTGCTTCTGTGAAGTCTGAGTAAATATGGAATGGGTATTTTAAGGATATTGTCACTCACACAAAGCCCATACTGGAAAGGACATCTGCTAACAGTTCTTCATGTCACCAACAACATTATAGCGAAGTATCGAGTCAGGGGTAGCTCCTTCCCACTTCTGCTCAGACACCAAAACAGAGGAAGCCATGTGAGCCATATGGCCAGCCTTACCCTTTGCTCTCTTGATTCACAGCCTGCGACATGAATGTTCACAAGCAGTGTGTGATCAACGTCCCCAGCCTCTGCGGGATGGATCACACAGAGAAGAGGGGGCGGATTTACCTGAAGGCAGAGGTCACCGATGAAAAGCTCCATGTCACAGGTAAGGCATGGTGGTCCAGGAGCAGCACTTGTGGTGGGAGAAGGTCAAGGTAATGCCAAGGCAGGGTGGGGGCTCGGCCCATAGCATCAGCTTGGAATCATCAACGTCTAGAGCCCTGCAGACTCAAGTTAACACATGTCTCAGAAGACTGGTCAGTATACCCAAATTCCTGAATATTCAGTGTCATATAAATGTCATATAAGTTATAGCCACCATGTAAATAAAAATAAATAAAAGGTATTGTGTCCATCTACAACTAAAAAAAAAAAAACACTAAAGAAATAAAAAGGAGAGAAAAGGAGAGAAAGTTCTAGAAACAGTTTACTTTGGAAAACATCCTCACTTTTTTTTCCTTTGGAAAATAAGTATATTTCTACCCAGTACCATGTTCTCAGATAAGAATACAGGGAAACCAAGCAAAAGATCTTGAGGTTTTACAAGGAGAGAGACCATGGCTGCTTTTGGAGGACCTCATGGGACAGAACAACTGTAGCCAACAGTCAAGAAGGAATTGTGAATTAGAGGTGAAATTCCTCATAGACACAGACCCCCCTTTGTCTTTTGTGTTTTAGAGAAGCTTCTTCATTTCTCCACACCATTCTGGTTGCATCCTTGCACTGGGGGAGGTGGGGAGGGGGGAAGCTGCTCAGCTCCTGGCAGCTAAGAAGCAGAGAGAGAAAATGGAAGGGGTTGGGGACAAGATACAACCTTCAAAGTCACACCCTCAGCGACCTACCTTCTGCAACCGTGCCCCACCTGCCTAGTTTCCACCACCTCCCCGTAGTCCATTCAAACGATTCATCCATCAAATGGATTAATCCACTCATGAGGTCAGAGCCCTCATGCTTCAGTCATTTCCTAAAAGCCCCATCTCTGGACATGGCCCTGGGGACCGAGCCTTCAACACATGAGCTTTGGAGGGACATTCCGGATCCAAACCATAATAGCCCCTCTGACCCCGGCTCTCTGCCCAGAGGAAGTGGGGCTCCTTGGGGACCATGAGCTGGGCTTTGAGAACATTTGCAATGTCACAGGCTCACTCCTGTTTCTCCCTCTTTTTCACTATGGCTCCTGCATTGTCAAAGCCAAGTGCTGTGGACAGGGAATATGCAGTTTAGGAGGAAATGACCATAAGACCTGGTAGGTGGAAAGAGAGCATCTAATAGGAGGCCTATAGGGTAAATATTGCCTGCATGTCCTCACCTTTTCCTCCATTCCCAAAGCTTCTGCTGTTGGCAGTAATGTGGACCTACAGGTGAATAGTCAGAGTTTGATTATGGCGTTTACAGGTAACACTGTAGGACTTGCTATAMGGCAAGAATGCCTGGACAGTTTTCAGATGTTTAAGTGTCGTTCTTTGTGTTTCTGGATGAAGCARAACATGTGCTGTGAATCCTGTATTCGACTGTGCCTTCTCCTCAAACAAAAGCAGCAACCACACTGTGCTGCCTGTTCATCCAGTCTCTTCTATAAGCCTCCAGAGTCTTGTAGAGACAAGTATGCACAGGGGCACAGGTGCCCTGGCTGKGGTGGCACAGAGATGCAAGTGAAAGGTCAGATCCCACCACACTGGGGCTCATGTCCTGCTAATCACCTACCCATCCCCAGGAACTGAGCTGGACTCACAGATGTAGAAACCACCTGAGGGTTCATCTCTTTCAATGAGATGGATGGGATGTTTCACACRTGATAACCAACCAGCATAACTTATGGCAGCCAGCTAGATGGTGTCTCTGGAGAATTAGTTTAAAAAATTTTTTGTATATATATATATATATATTTCTACTCTAGGAATGAGAATGCAGAAGTAGTTCAATAATGAAAATGTCTTACTCCCTTTGAGCTGCCATAACACAGTACCTTATAGTGGACAGTCTATAAATAATAGAAATTTATGTCTCCTAGCTCGGGAGGGAGGCTGAGAAGTGCAGGATCGAGGCACCAACAGATTCAGTGTCTGGCGAAGGCTTGCCCTCTGCTTGACAGACAGCACCTCTCGCTGTATCCTCCCATGCAGAAGYGGGAGGAAGACGGTGCCCTCATGGCAGGAGGGCAAACATGCTCCCTTTGACTTCTTTTACAAGGGCAGTGATACCATTCACGAAGGTGGAGCCCTTGGGACGTGGTCATTTCCCAAATAGCCTCTCCTCTCAACATCCTTGCACTGGAGATTAAGTTTCAACATATAAAATCGGGACGGACACCCATATTCAGACCATCACAAACAATAACAGCAGCAGCCCACACTATTGGGTGGTTTCCAGAAAAGGGCTGCTTCCCAAGCACTTTCCACGGCCAGTTTATTTAAACGTGTGAGAAACTTTGCTTTATGGTCTCACTTTAGAGGTAAAGAAACCAGAAGCAAGGCAATATGCCCAAATGCAGASTGGGAAGAGAGAGGGAAATGRCTCCAGGTCACGGGTAGAAAAGTGCTGGACAGGGTTCAAGTCCAGGTCTGCCCTTCTATGCCCGGACACTGAGCCAAACAAGTCTCTTTTATTCAGTGAAGCCTCTTTTCGAGCAAATACTAAACCCATAAATATTTGCTAAAGCCTCCTTCAGCACTCCAAAAGGTACTTCAAGTTTACAGAAAGTCTAAGCATAGGACTTCAAGCCAGAGGACAAAAGGTACTACATGAATGGATTGCAGAACAGTCCAAGGCCAAGTGTAATTAAGTGCCACATTATGTGGGCCTCTAAATGGGACACCACTGCAAGATGCTCAGGATGGGGAGAGGCCGGGTAGGGAAAAGAGAGGCCCATGGAGAAGAAGACCGAGGGCTGGAGACATTTGAGAGGGAGAGGGAAAGAGAGCTCCCGTTGAGAGATTGAATGGGATGCAGAATTAGCTGGGCTTTAATGAGAAGGCAAATATAAACAATAAGCCATAATGAGCAGAGCTTATGGCCCAAATGCAAGCAATTTCTTGGGGAAAAAAAATGCATTTAAACCTAAACCCTGGGCAGCTGTGTTAATTGCTAGATTAGCTCAGTCCCCATTTTACCTGTTTAGAATTGCTCAGGTTGAAAATAATTTCCAAAGTAACACAGAAACTCCCAGTGGGAGAGCTCTGCACTGAGATGGAAGGCCCCCTTTTGAAATCAGAAGTGAGTTTTCTTCCTGGATTAGCCTGTATTTATGGGAAAGGCCTCTACCTTCATGGTGTATTTTTATTTTTTGCCTTTGGGCGATGGTGCTGATGTTATCAGAATAGTGTCATTCTTTTTTCCTCTAATAGGTGATTTTAATAGGTTTTCTACATTCTGGTATGCTATTTTATTTGGTTTGGAGAAGTGGTAAAAAAAAATTCCTCTTGGGAACCAATTTTCAATTTAATGTTGTAAGTAAATGGAAAAAAATATCATGTGCTTTACAGCTGTTTCAGAAACACATCTCTCTCCCACAGATAGATTATTTCAAAGACGAGTCTAATTTTCACAAATACCTTGGGTGGTTAATGTAGCATGGAGATTGAAGTTCTGACCCAAGTTCTCATGGGGAGGGGAGAATTTCCTCCGGGTCTCTGGCTCCTGGCAGCATCCGGACCCCTCCTTCTGTCTACTTCTCTAGGGCCTTGTGCAGCTCAGTGTTTGAGCCTCCCCTCCCCAGGGACTGAGACTCACCACCACGCTATTGTGATTAAAACAATAACATTTCTTCTGTGCTCTTCCAACCTCATTGGAGTGTGGTAACTGTAGAATCAAGGCAGTGAGATTTGTCTCTGAATAATAATTCATTCTTCAGTTCATCCATCATTATACATTTATCGAGCAAGTGTCTGGCAAAGTGACTAAGACGTGGATTTGGGGATGGTAGAGCGCTTGCCTGGCATGTGTGAGGCCCTGGGTTTGATTCTCAGTACCACATAGAAATAAGTGAAATGAAGACGTTGTGTCTATCTACAACTTTAAAAATATTAAAGAAAAAAAAAAAGACGTGGAGTTGGCCGTGGAACCTGTGTTCTTTGGAGGGAGGCTATTGGACAGTGGGAGCTTGGGAGAAGGGGCCTCAACTACCTGAGGAAGCTGCAGATGTCTGGGAAGTGGCAGTGGAGCYGGGAAGACAGGGCCTTCCTGGCAAAGATGCAGAGAGTGTTTGGAAAGCACGACTGCCCAGGATTTCAGGAATTTCTAGGGAGATGCGGAGAGAGCTGGAGGAAGATTATTTCTTTCCATTTTTATTCATTTGTTTTTGCTTTGCTGTGCTGGGATTGAACCTAGGACCTTGCACATGCCAGGCGAGCGCTCTGCCGCCGAGCCGCACCCCCATCCCCTCTTTCCATTTTCAAGGGGCTGGGAGTGCAGTCTCCGCTGACGGATTGCACAGTCCTTGGGAGCCGTGTTGAACAGACTTTGAGTTCCATAGTCTTTCAAACAGGAGGATTTTAAGTTCCAGGTGGCTACATTTCCACTTGGCAGAGAGCCAGTCTCCCAGCCTGAACTACAGACTTCACCCCAGGGTCACAGTGAYCACACACGCTCTGGTGACAGCAAGTGCAACATTGGTGACCTGTTTGCCTGAAGCTTTGCACAGGTACCTTCCCGGCTGGCAGACAGTGTGGGGCTACCAGCAGGCAGGAGTTGGACAGAGCTGTTTATTTGAGGGGAAAGGTATCACTTATCATTTCTATTAAATAAAACCTTGGCTATGGGCTTTGGAGCCAGATCAGGAACTCAATGCAGCTGAAGAATCTGGTCCTTCARATTGGCTAGAGGGAGGGTGCCAGCRGCTTCTCCTCAGGTACCACCAGGTGCATTACTGGTGATGCTACATTGATCACCTCGCTGTGGTGTTCTATTGCGTCCCTTGACTGCAAAGGTATCTTTTTTATTTGTACTAGTTATGGAGTCTCAGTGTTGTACTTGTGGCCAGGCAACCTTCCACCCAATGGAATGGACATCCATGGATGAATCCCATTCGATTTTTATTGATGATCACAAAATGTTCATTTTCTAATTCTGTATCCTTCAGGGTTCATTAGCTGGCATTCATCTGAAAGA